GAAGGGATTCCCTCGTGACTGCTGATTGATATGATAGATGTTATGGCCTTACCTTTAAAGGCATTCAAAAAAAGTTACTCGTTATAGAAATCAAAAAAAAAACATCTTTGCTTAGCTAACTTGCTCTTAGAATACTTAAGCCCTTGAAGGTTTTTCTTTCTCTCTCTGCTTAATAGATTTTAGTTAATTTTCGAATTAATTAAATTGTACTCGTGTGCAATCGCAAATGAGAAAAAGAAAACATACTATCTAGCAACGACCTTCAAAGAGGGGGCAAACAAAACTGTTAAATATGCAAGAAGCATACACACACACACACACACACATACACACGTACACACCGACAGACAGAAAATGAAAATCTATTTATTGTAGCGCTTAGCTGCAATGGGAACCAGAAAGCAAATTACGACACGCAACGTACACATATTACAAATGCAGGCACAAAAAGAGAAAGAATTACGAAAGCCGTCAGTTTCTAGTACAGATGATCTGATTAATAAGCGACACGTTTGCTTTGTACTTGGTGCGTCATTAAACGGAAAATGCTAAAAAGCGTACCGGGCGTACCGGCAGTAACTGTTTGCAGCAGGTGGTCTCTAATGATTAAATGCATACAGCTTTGCCCACGATATGTCCGTCTGTCCTACCGTCTTATTGCAATTATGTATACATACAACGCTGGCAACAACAAATAGGCATTAATAGTAGAAACGCCTCTACAGTGCTATTTTGGGTTAATTGCTGCGCTTTTTATTTTTTCGCAAAATAAGGCGATAATCTTACGTTTTTTTTTTGTTTTTTGAGTTTATAAGGAAAAAACCGCTTCCGAAAGTGTTTCATTCCGAGAGATTGGCCTATCCATGCAGATCTCACAAATTTACCTGTCAAAATACTCATAAAAGCTTTAACGGTATTATTCAAAACGCTACAGTTGCCATTAAGCATTCGTTTCCTGCTATTTTTGTGTCTGCACTTAAACACAAATATATGCATGTATGCACACAGTTTTGAATTTATAACAAATGCAGAATGTAACTAGTATATCTCTTGTTGTTGTTGTTGTTGTTGTGGTTCTTGTCGTTTCATTCTTCATAGCACATCACATACAATGTGAACATTTTTATAAATTGTCATGCATTTAAAGGCGCATTCATACACACATGTTGATTTTGAAAAGCATGAGCAGTATAATTCAAGTTCATGTTTTATAAGTAGATGTGCTTCTTGTTGTTGTTGTTGTTATTATTCTTGTTCTTGTTTCTATATGCCTTCTTTACAACGCGTCGTCGTCGTCGTCGTCGTCGTCGTCGTCGTCGTCGTCGCATATACTAACGATATGCTGGGTTCATATGTTTGCGTTTATATTTAAGTGAGTACATCTTTAGTATATTAGTAGGTATAAAATGTTACACATGCCTATGTAAATTATAGAAATTTTTTATGATGACTACGATTTGTTTGCTTTGACACATTTGTTTATGAAATACATTTTTTAACAAATTTTAATGAATACATAGAATTAGTGCTGGCATGAAGTTAGCCCACTAACCAACGTAACCAAAAGGTGTGCTATCATTATACCTGGTTCGCGTCCATGCTAAAGTAATTGATCATTGAACGACAGATATTGCTATGGGGAATGATAAACTCGGGATATAGTAATGACATAACATTTTTCGGATGGATTTTAAAATTCCATGCAATATATGCAAAATGAATAAATGCACATTTTTTACAATTAACTTAGTGTCTTATGTACATAGGGACGGCATATTTGTTGCAATTTTGGCAATGATAAGTCAATGATTTAGTAATAAAGTTAGTGTTTTATGATAGTTTTTTTTAGGATTTTTCAAAATGAATCTAAAATCTAGTGTTACGTAATATAACTGAATTTTGGTATAACATTCGCTCAGTGCTTGTAGTAAACCTGTACATGAAAGTTAGTAAACACTAACTTTGCTTTGTTAAAGGCTTCGTCCGTTTCATGTGTGTTTGCCTCCTATTCCTAATATTTTTTTAAATATTATTTGCTCTTCCTTTACTTCGCTATAAAGCCTAGCTTAGGAAAGCCACAACGCTTAAAAAATGCGCTCTATCTTGCTGGACTACCTTCACGTCCCCCACGTGAATTACTCCAGTTTTGTATTTAGAGTGGAAACAGTGCAATTCCTCTACAATTCCTTTGTCCTTATTTTAATTATTTAAAGCATGATCGTTTAAAATCGCCTGTAACAGCTATCGTCAGATTTTTACCTACTATTTTATGGAGAAGACTTTGAGCATTCGAACAAAATAATCAAATTTAGCGGGCAGTTTACGAACGTTACTTCCACTCTTATTTCGAGGAAGTAAAGAAAAAAAAATATTTTTTCATGACAACATTGAGAGATTTTATTCTCCGTTGCGCGATGCTTTATACCAAGTATTGTTACATCATTCATAACGCCTGCTTGTATTAATTAGAAAATTATTAATTATGTCTTCAAGTAAACCTACTAGAACACCGAATAGTATTCCAACAAGTAACGAGAAAAAACCATAAACTGATGTCTTATTATCACAACTCAAGCATTCTGCGAATCACTTGTCAAAACAAATTAAAATTTAAAACGTGAATCATAAAGGCTAGCTCTCTATCATTACGCAACAATTTAAAGAACGTAATCGATGTTGAGTTAATATTTCTCATATTTAGTTTCTCGAAGTTAATGTGTACGATACCCACATTGGAGAGTGCATTCAACTAATATTCTCTTCTAGAGAATCTTTTAGAGTTTTCGCTTGCTTTCTTACACTTAATCAACACCTTGGCGCATCAATAGCGTACGCAGAATCATCAAGGGAGTAAATCTATAGCTTCTATGTTTTGTACGACTTGAACTAGAATTAAATTTCTTTCAAACAATCCATATATAGGTGGTAACCGTACCTACACCATCTTATCGTTCTTGATGCGGCAGCTTTTCAAAATATATGCTTTATATGGAAATTGATCGATAAATTGGCCAGATATGAATCATTTTCAAGAGTGTTCATGCTTCCGATCAGTAGGTTGAACACAAGGAAACAAGATAGGCAAACAGATAGACGGACAGACGGACAGACAAGCTGAAGTGAATGCATCTTAATCGATAGGTATAAAAAAAGGTAAGTTTATCTCAAATATAGGGTATAACCACTAATGTTACTAAGAACGATCGCAACGAATTATTTTTCCAATGGCTTCACTTTTAAGTTAATTTCAAAAAATGGCGTTTTTTGGACGCTGAAAGAAGTAATGACTGCGCATATCGATCGCCACCGTTCCGATTTTTTCTCTCTCTGTCTCTCTCTCTCTCTCATGCTATAATAGTCCCTTTTACAACTGTGAGCGATCATCTGAAATTCTTATGATCGTATAGTTTCCGAAAATGTATGAAAGGACTTGCAGCTTGATATTGATACACGACGAAACTGTGTTAAAAATGCATTTATTTTTAAAGAAATATATATGTCTTTGGTTTCAAGTGAGTGTGCGACGTACGGTATTTAAAGTTCGTCTTTTTTTTGTCCAATAACTCTCTCTCTCTCTCTCTCTCTCTCTCTCTATGTCCATATGTTTGCATTCGCTCACATTTGATGATTATTAAGCATTCTCGCATAATAATGCTATCTACATGATTCCCAGAGAAGAATGTTCGAATATATTTTATACACCACTAACTTGTCGTCATTAACATAACCATGAGTTTAGTTAGCTAAGGCATTGTTAGTTCATTATAAACGCGTGTGCATATCAGACGTGAAGAAGGCGTGCTGTGCATGTATAACCTTTAGCTTTAAAATATCAATTGATAAGCGAAAACACGCGATTCGTTTTTAACATAAGCGAATTTAAAGAAAAAATATATTTTTTTTGGTTTTAATTCCCTACAAGTGTTGTTATCATGCAGATATTACAAGTTAAACGAGCTCAAAGTGTAGGTGGCTTATTTAAAAAAAAAAAAAAAACACATTTTTATAAACTTTTCCTTTCTCTTAGCCCGCCCCCTGCGTAGGGTACATTAAATTTGTAACCATTGCTTTGGAAATGCGCAATCTCATCAGATTCAAACATTTAATAGCTTCGTCCATATTGTCCCATAGAATGAGGGCAACTATGTGCTATTCATTATTATATTAGAATCTTTCCTCTCATTCTCTGCATTTCACTCTTTTTACTCTTCGTTATCTCTAGATATATATGATGGAGGAAACGCGCTATATTTCATCAGATTCAAATTTTCCATAGCTTCGTCGTCCACATTGTCAACAGAAATAGGTCAACTAGGCGCTATTTATTTGTGTTAGAACCTTTCCTCTCTTTTTCTCTCTCTCTCTCTCTCTATCGTCATCTGCAGGTAAATACAGGTAATCACGTTACATTATATTTTGTTTTGAGCAAAATATTTTCGCATATCCATCCGCAGAGTTGAAGCAGGGAATATTTGTAGATTTTATAAAGTCATGACAAAATTATTATTTATTTATTATCTCGATGGTTTTATAAAATAAATGTAAACCTTCCTCCCATTCACCAGGAGACGAATATAAAAAGAAAAATTTAATTAAAGTTTATTTGCCGGCAGTATTCAGGTTTATTGTTGTTGTGGTTGTCATAGGAGAGACGAATTTTATTGCAAGGCGCCAAAAAAATATCAATGTCTTGCTTTGGTATAAAAAGGGTTTACTTATACGGGGGAAAAAAAAAAAAAATTCAAAGTTATTCTCGCTGTGTTCTCTTTTACTCTCGCAGTTGCTCTTTATGAAGCACATGTTGCTATGACCTTGTTGTAATTTTTGTTGTCTTTTCGTATAGAAAATATTACGTATCTTGGTAATTCTTTATGTTTTTTTTTTTTTTTTTATAAATATTTGTAGTTTTCGTTCTCACCTCTTTTGTTTGACTGTCCGTCTTTCCATCTCTCATATTCTATCGTATTTCATGTAATTAAAATTTTACTGTTTAATTAAAGGGACCCTCGTTCTTAAAACGTGCGAGCACCGATAAATTGCGTGAAGTCTTCCTTAAGTACGCTTCATATCAGAAGAATGGCGAATACTTTATGACTAGCGAAGATTTTGTAAGAAAATTCTTGGGACTATTCACAGATGCTGCATTTAATGATGTAAGTAATTTAAAGTTTTTTTTTTTTCTACATGCGAACAAAAAAAAAATAAATAAAAGGAAATAAAAAAAAAATTATTGCTATTGGGATCGGCAATATTGATAAAATCAGTTATGCCTTATCAATTTTTGCTTTCCATGAACTTGAAAACCTTTGTATTTGATGACGAACAACAGCTATAACTTGTTGTACGCACTATTTAAATGTTGTTATGACAAACAAGTAAAAACAAAAAATAACTCGTAAGAATGCTAGAGTCGGGCAACGCCGGCTTCTAAATACTTTACACAACTTCACTTAATACAGTCACAGTACACACTGCTTTCTTGACACTATAGGGAAAATTATGCATTAATTTTATCTAAATGTTTACTTTTAAAGAAAGCCCTCATATTGGCGAATAGAATTATCAAGGATTTTCCAGTTTTCCAATTGCTCTCCTCTTCGTTACAACCAACCACAAAATTGGCTTTGTCACAAAGGCTTACTTTCAATGCAAGTCACCAGATTTCGTTCAGTCTAAACAATAGACCAAAGTGATCCAAATCAAGATTAAGATAAAATTGCTATGGACCAATTTTTAAATTAAATTATTAGACCATTTTGACATATTACGGCATATTTTTCATTGAAATCCCTATATAGGTTGGGATTGCAGAGAATAGACCTACGCGGTCCAAATTCGATAAGGTTAATTTTTATGTGAAAAAGGATTTTAAAAAAATTGTCCCACCCAACAGTAACACTAAGCGATTTTTGTCGCGAAATGTGGAAAATTACATTATAATGTACTGTCATCGAAAAAATGAATCGATTGGAACTATCAGTGTATCAAATTTCATCAAAATATTTCGAAAATTATTAATTATAGATTGAACACAAGAACACATGGACGAACATCAGACGAGCAATCAGAAAGACGGATAGGCAAGATTTTAATAAAAGTTGGATCTCTCTCAAGTCCTTATGTGTGTTACATATGTCCGCAAAAATTTAATATACCCTTCGGCAACAAGTGATGTAGGGTATACAAATAACACACAAATTATTACTTTAATGTCAAGATCTGAACGAATTGATTAGACTGAAATTTTTCGATTATTTGTGTATTTATGCAAGAATAAGTTGTGATTAAATGTAATATTAATGAATACTGTTCTTAATGTTAAGCTGTTTTCTCCAATCGGCAGAGAGAGAGAGAAAGGCATTTCATTTTATCTGAACGTATTATTTATGCGATTTACTCAAAACCATTAATGAGGACTTGGATGCCCATTCATATGTCAAAAATCTGTATGTAAAACAAGTGTAAACACTATATCGGGCCGTGGCCAACTCTCAAATACACAACATCAACCTACAGTAATTCATACCATGACTTTTCAAAATAGGTCATTATGTGGGAAATCGTAGAAAAAGTGACCCGATTTGAAGCATTTTCAACAGCGTAACACCCTAGACACTATATCACAAAAATTGTGGCCTGTAACTTGAATACAAGAAAACAAGATGAACAGTGTGATAGACAAACAGACAGACAGACAGATAAAATCTCAATCAAAAGGTAGATTTATCTCAAATACTTCTACATGTTGTAAACATTCGTACAAACTGCATAGAGAACTTGCTGCACAAGATCTGGGCAATATCTCGTCTAAATGACAATGACAACGTATTAAGGAAATTCCAGTTAGAAATTTTTCTTGCTTAAATTATTTTAATGAGTTTTCCAAATGTATTGGAGTATTTTTAATTTCTGCCATTTTCCTTATCACATATATAATAACATGTACTTCTTATCTCTTTGGACATATTGTAAATTAAGTATGTCATGAATCATTATTCATTTCCACTGCGATATGTCATTATTTCGTTTAATTTTATCGAGAACTATTAATATAATAAAAGTTGTTCCGCACCTGTTCACTATTATCGTGTTCTTCTTCTAAACAACATTGTTTTTTACTTGCCAAGAAATGAGAATGCTATGTTACGATCGAAATAGATTGCTTGGTTCGCCTGCTTTTCCGATAAGTCCGATCGATTATTTACTTATAAATTAAAGAATTTATGCGATAATTGGATTTGTTTTTTTTTTTTTTTTATATTAAATCGTTTACTTTCTTAGGAATCAGTGCGTTTATTAGCCGGCATTGCTGATACCAGTAAAGATGGACTTATTTCATTTGCAGAATTTCAAGCTTTCGAAGGTTTATTATGTACACCAGACGCTTTGTATAAAACTGCTTTTCAATTATTTGATCGCCAAGGCAATGGCACAGTATCCTATGGTAAGCGGACCGATTATTATGCGAGCAAAAAAAATTAACGAAAATAAAATTCATTTCAATTTAATAAATTTTAGATAATTTTGCTGAAATCGTACAAAAAACTGAATTACATTCGAAATTACCCTTCAGATTAGACAGTCCATTTATTAAACGATATTTTGGTGAGGTAATTATACCTTTTTATGAAATATGCAAAATAAAATTTTATTTTTAAATTCTTTAATGACATTTTGCATAATTTACGCAATTACGGCATTTGTAGAAAAAACAACGCTTGATCAATTACGCGGAATTTACTCAATTACTTCATGATTTCCATGAGGAATACGCTATGGAAGCATTCCGAACTAAAGATCCAGCCGGTTCTGGATATATATCTCCATTAGATTTTCATGATATTATGGTTAATGTTAAAAGGCATTTACTTACCGCCGATGTTAAAGACAATTTAGTAGCGGTATGTAAAATTGAATATTGAAAATTTTGTAACGTAATGTAACATGACGTGATGACGTTAAGATAACATTTTGTTTTAGATAACTGAGGGTCACAAAGTTAGTTTTCCATATTTTATGGCTTTCACATCATTACTAAATAACATGGAATTGATTAAGCGCATCTACTTGCATGCCACACAAGGTAATCGCACAGAACCTGTTACCAAAGATGAACTATTATATGCTGCTCAAACTATGAGTCAAATTACACCATTAGAAATTGATATTTTATTTCAGTTAACAGGAGCTTTACATCATACCGGGTAAGTCATTCGAATTGCAAAGATTCTTTAAACATAAAAATCTCAATTACAAGTAAAATCTTCTAATTCGTTTATAACATACATATGTATATATAAATATTATCAAAAATTGTTTAATTGACTTAACTATTTTTATTAAATTTTTTTCATATCTACTTTTGTTTTTTTGTTTTTTTTTTTTTTTTTTTTTTTAAATTTAAACTAAATTTTATAAAAAATCTCATGTTGAAATTATTTGTTTTTTTTTTTTAATATAAAAATAACCAACTAGTTGGTGGAGACGTAAAAAGTTTGAAGCAAATAGGCAAGTGTAACTACATCATTGCTAGAGATATATACACATACATATATATATATATATATATATATATATATATATATGCTCATATACCCACTGTCAGAGAATTGAAATTTGATTCGCAAATCGCCCGATCAGCATAAGGCTTTCTTTCAATTTAAGAATGTCAGTCCGTTTGTCCGTTTTCTTCTGGCTTCAATTCCAGAGATCAAGTTGAGAAATTAGACATGATCTTGTCATAATTTATTTATATTAAAATATTTTAATATAATAAATTAAAAACAATCTTTTAAAATGTACAGTGGTTATCCGCATGATTAGTCCCTTAGCCTACTAATAACTCAGTGGTCGCGGGTGCAAATCTCAAGTGCGGTAAAGTTTTTTAATACAGGAGAGCATATGATCGATTTACAAAATATATAGAAAATAAATAAATAAACATAAAGTGAAGTTAAAATATATGTCACAGTAAACATTACCATAAGCAAACTATGAACACAACGAAGACTGTTTTTAACAAGACAAGTTTTGTACATTTATTCTCAAGACGATGGGTATTCGAAATTCGCGCCAAGGCGAATGTAACAGCTTAAAGCTCTTCGGCTTGGCAAATTTGTTTTTGATTCTGTAATTCAATGCCTTTGCTTTATAAAAATATCAAATCAAAACTCCTTTTGAAATGTTTTGCCAAACATCATCCCATAGATACAATTATTTATATAAATAATTTATATCTAAGAGTTTTATAAAATAATTTCCATATCTCCAAATTTTTAGACGAGTAGTTTATAGCGATTTGAATAATATCGCTCCGGAACATTACACAAAGCATATCACCACTAGATTAGCGGAAATCAGAGCAGTGGAAAGTCCAGCTGATCGTTCAGCATTTATACAAATTTTGGAGAGCACTTATCGATTTACATTGGGCTCAATGGCGGGCGGTAAGTAAATATGTCTTAATTTTTCAATCAATATCACAAAATGTTGAGTTTCGAGACTTAATATCATGAACTCTCCATCAAATATATTCTGATATTTTCATACCCACAACCAAAAGAAATGGATATTCAGACCAGTTGTTACCCAAAGTACTGAAAAAGTCAATACTATAAAGTTTCTTTGATTTTCAAAGGTTATTTGAAAACTCTTTCAAATAAATATTAAAATTAGAAAATTTTTTAAAAATCAAAAAAAAATTTTAGAAGTAAAAGTACTATAATGGGGCATGGCCCACTTTAAAATAACCTGCACCTTTTTGTCTAATACAGTTATACACGGAAGCACCTTTCAATATAAGGCCGTATATGGGAAGTGATTGAAAAATTGGTCCGATCAGACACATACCGTCCATACCGTTCGTCGTTGGGCTGAAATACATTGGTGTACCAAACTCCATCAAAACATCTCTAAAATCGATATCTGTAGATTGAACACAAGAATGCAACATGAACAGACAGACAGAAAAGCTTAGATAGACCCAGCAAACTCACTTTCTCAATTGGCCGGTATAAGAAAGGATAGTCTATTTCAAATCCTTCCAAGTGTTTGATATATCCGTACAAACATAATACAGTCTTGTAGCACAAGTTGCGTAAACTATACAAAATTGATTTCAAAATATCTTCTTGGGCGGAAGATTTTTCATCGCACCACAATTTTTTTTATGCATCCATCCTTTTTAAAAGAAAAGTTTATTGAAATTTTTATTTCATTACGTTTTGCAAAATTTCCTTTTTAGCCGTTGGTGCCACAGTTGTTTATCCCATTGATTTGGTAAAGACCCGCATGCAAAATCAGCGAACAGGTTCCTATATTGGAGAAGTGGCTTATAGAAATTCTTGGGATTGTTTTAAAAAAGTTGGTTCTCCTCTCCAATCTTTCTTTTATATGTTTATATGTAATATAGATTATGTTTAATATTCAAGGTTATTCGTCACGAAGGTTTTTTGGGTTTATATCGTGGACTTTTACCACAGCTAATGGGCGTGGCGCCGGAAAAAGCCATTAAGTTAACAGTAAATGATTTGGTGCGTGATAAATTATCCGACAAACAGGGAACTATACCTGTTTGGGCTGAAGTTCTAGCAGGTGGTTGCGTAAGTTTTGCAAAAAAAAAAAAAAGAGAGAGAAAAAATTCCTTAAAATGTTATTATTATTATTGTTGTTATGCATATAGGCTGGTGCTTCGCAAGTGGTCTTCACCAATCCCTTAGAAATTGTTAAGATACGTCTGCAGGTAGCTGGTGAGATAGCAGGCGGTGCTAAAGTTCGTGCCTTAGCGGTTGTTCGCGATTTGGGTCTATTTGGTTTGTACAAAGGTGCCCGAGCTTGTCTGCTGCGTGATGTACCATTCTCTGCCATTTATTTTCCCACATACGCTCATACAAAAGCTTTATTTGCTGACGAAGACGGGTATAACACTTCAAGGAGATTTTTTTTTTTTTTTTCAAAAATATAAATAAATTTTATTTCTTTTATATTTTAGATATAATCATCCGTTGACTTTGTTGGCTGCTGGTGCAATAGCCGGTGTACCGGCTGCCTCGTTGGTTACACCGGCTGACGTGATTAAAACTCGTTTACAAGTAGTAGCTAGAACTGGTCAAACTACCTACACTGGTGTATGGGATGCTACTAAAAAAATTATGGCTGAAGAAGGGCCGCGAGCCTTCTGGAAAGGAACAGCTGGTAATTTTAAACTAAATATAATCTCATCTTATCAGCATATAATTCAGTTTTTTTGCATGATTTTTTTTCATGATCATGTATATATATATATACATATAAATCCATAGCACGTGTCTTCCGTTCATCACCACAATTTGGTGTTACATTAGTTACCTATGAATTGCTGCAACGTTTATTTTACGTTGATTTTGGCGGTTCTCATCCCACTGGCTCCGAAGTGCACAAATCCAAATCTATCGATACGCTCAACGATATACGCCTTAATGCTGATCACATTGGTGGCTATCGGGCTGCAGTACCTTTACTCAATGGCATCGAATCGAAATTTGGTCTCTTTTTGCCACGCTTTCAATCTCGCCATCAACAACACACTATTGAATCATCATCGACGGGTTCAAAGAAAACCTCATGATGATATCGAAGCCTCTATTAAAAAACTATAACATCATAACATCACAAAACCAGCCTGTACATCTATCCAATAAATATATATATATATATATATAAATAATGCCAGACTTTTAAGTTTAAATTCTATTTTCTTAAATGCAATTAAGAAGTAAAAAATAATCATTATAGTGAAAATTTATAATTACATCTAATAATTATGTAAAGATAAGAAGTAAAGAATTGAAAGTAAATGAATCTAAAAACAGGTTAATTCAAAGATAATACGTATATACGCATACATACATAAATACAAACATACATACATACATACATACATACATACATACATATAAAAAAAACATACATACAAACATACATACATATATTTTTTGCTAGATGAATTATATTAAACTCCAATGATATATAAAAATAAAAACAACAATAGTAAACTGTTATCAACTGTCGATGCAACTAAAAATAATTAAATTTACTATAAAAAACAAAAAAAAAAAAACCATATATAAAATTAAATAAAAACTTAATTTAATTAATTGCATAATTTCTTATAAAAAACAAATAAAAAACTTATTAAAATTAAATTAAAATACGATGATAGCCTGTGAAGTTGCAAAAACAAAAACAATAAATCGTGAAATGATGGATTTTTTCCAATTTTATTTTAAAGCAAAAGCAAATAATAATAAACCAAAAAGCTAATATTAAGATATAAAAAAAAAAAAAAAAAAAAACAAAATCACTTCAATAATATCTAAGTGCAATACAAATGCAAATTATAAGGACATTGAAAATAGTTCTAAACATAACCTAGCAAATAAAACTGATTTGGATATAAATGTTTATTAGGCTGACTAGATTTTGTTCGTCCAAATGATGATGAAATGACTTGCCAGTGTTTTCTATTCAACTTTAATGGAATTCCTATTAAATGTTTTAGAATTTCTCATTGAAAAATTATTTTTATGATTTAATTCAAATTTAAATGCGGCTTACTTCACCTATAAGCGAGACGTGCCTGTAAACGCTTGTGAAGGCATTTTAAAGTTTTAGTGCAAACTTCAATTTTGAATTTTCCGGAATATAGAAAGGAGTTGGGAAAATATTCTCTATCACTATAAAAAATATGAAAATTTCCTCTTAAATAAGAAAAAAAAAAAAAAAAAAATTTAAAACTTCCTAATGTCGTCCCACTTCGCAGTTCAATATGCTCACCACTGAAAATTGTATCATAATCCACTTTAGTTAGTGATATTTGTAAACTTTTGCATTTAGAATTTTCCTCTTAAATAATTCAAGACAAGTAAGAACATTATAGTGGGCCATGGTCCACCATTAAATACCCTACATCACTGGCTATTTGTTTATATAGTGAATTTTTAAAAAAAGACCTGAAAAGGAAGTTCGTTGAAAGCATGGTCCGATTCAAATCCTTCTTAATAGCGTTTGTCCATACGCCAAAACAAAGCGGACAGCCCGACAGATAGACAGATAAGTTTAAATTCATTCAGAACGTGATTCTGACCAGCATAATAAAAGATGGACTTGCCTCAATTACTTCCGAGGGTTGTATACATACACATAAACTTAACACATCAAAACAAGAAAAGCTACGACCCGACTACAACACTGTAGTGAGTTAAAGTCCATTCTACAACGACTCATTCTTACAACGACCGACATCCGATTCGAATCATTGTCAATAGCGTTCGTCCTGGAATCAATACATGCCACTCTATCAAATTTAATCGAAATATTTTAAAAATTGCGAACATTAGCATACGAGACAGACCGATGGACAGATGGACTGACAAGCTTAAAACGATTAAGAAAATGATTCTGTTGATGTAGGGTGTAATAATTCAAAGAAGATTTTCGACTGGATTCAAATTTTCACCAATTAGTAAAATAAAATAAACAAACATGTCGAAACATTTACGACAATAGGGACGAGGTCCTTCTAATATATAAATTATAACGCTTTGGGATTTAATGCTTATAATGATTATAAATTATAAAATCATAGTTAAGTAATTTCTTTCTTATCTTCTCCAAATCAATAAATGATCCAAAGCAATTGAATTGATTTGTTTGGATATAATTTACATACATATAATAATTGCTTTATCGATACACAGAAACTGTTATATCAAAATGAAGAATACAAAAACAAATTGAATGCAAGTAGTTGCTACTGCATTCAATGAATAATGACACTAATATTGAAAAAGATTGATTAAAATTGAACTGAAGTTATGGTAGATCCCATAATCTATACAAATAAAAATTGTTATATATACTCGGCAACAAAATTAATTTATATGATAAATTGGTTTAACCAACTTTGGAGAAGAGTATAAACACTATAGAATACTTAAAAAAAAAAAAAATCAAATTTATGATGATGATGATGATGATGATGATGAGGGAATCCATGAGAGAAATATACAAAACAACTTATACTGTTAACTTTTTCTAAAAACAAAACAAATTTTCTATTAAATAAAAAAAAGAAGAAAATAAGAAAAAAAAAAATGTTTTCTAGCACTGTTTTTTTAATTTGCACTTAAATTTAAAACACAAAAGTTAAGAAGAAATTTAATAAAATAATAAAATTACTAATTTAATAAAAAGACACGAGCTGCCGCCCATTGTAATAAGTAGCAACAAAAAAAGAAGAAAAAAAAAAAAAAAAAACCAAAGAACATGCTACAAATAAACAAAAAAAAAAAAACTATAAATTATTTATTGTTAATTTTCCGTTTATTCAACACACCAAGGAAGAAGTTTTTATAAGTTTTGGTTCAAAATGCTCATAATTGAAAAGCTTTCCATACAGTGCAGGCGACTCTTTAAGAAAAATGTTGCCTAGAAGCCATAATGACTTTACTAAAATTTGAAATCTCTTTTCAGTTGTAACGAACCGATGGTTTTATAATCATTTTTACATCATTTTTATTTACTTTAAAAACAATTGATAATATATTGCTGGGCCACGGCCTATCAGTGTATGCTCCACGCCACTCTGCGATTGCTCATATGACGTCTTTTTAAAGTAAATCATTGTACGAGAAGCGGTCGAAAAAGAGGTCCAATGCGAAGGATTTACTATAGCGTTCGTCCTTGAGCGAAAAAGCATATCGGTAGTGTACCAAATTTGGAATGGACAGACGGAAAGACAAACGTATATTGGTATAATAACGGTTGGATCTATCCCAAGTGTTCCTATGTGCTGCCATACATTAATAAAAACTATATATAGTATGGTCTTGTACACATTTTCAAAAGCGTTCGTCCTTGGTCCAAAAGATGCCAACGCATAGTTCTTATTAAGCCCGTAGGTGAAACACGACATAGTGGGATGGATAGGCAAGATTATATCCATATAAAGAAGTCTTTCTCGCGTCCTCCTATGTGCTGCCATACATTGACACAAACTATATATAATATGCTCTTGCACCTTAAGCGGAGCAGAGTGTAAAACCAACACATTTTCAAAAGCCTTCGCCCTTAGTCCAAAACCCGCTGATCCAAGAAATTTCATATCATAAGTTCATCCATAAGTTCAACACAAGAAAATAAAATGGACAAACGGACAGACAAGCTTATATTGATATAACCAATGGTCTTCTAGGTGTTGCACACATCCGCAGAGTGGTCTAAAGAATAAAAAAAAATATCATGACTCTTTTATTTAAATAAATATCATTTTTTTATACAAAATTTTTAAATTAACACAAGCAACAACAAGTGCAACTTGAAACACTTCAAAAGCTAGTTTAACTTACTTTTCAATTATAGTAAATTATCTTTTTCTAAATAGTGTTAAATATGAAAGAAAAAAAACAAAAATCTACATAAAAAAGAAATATTTTCAATAAAAAAAAAATCTTTAAGAAAAAGCAAAGAATAAGTGCCGTTTAATCAATAATTAATTAGAATATGAAAATTTTTTATTTTTTATTTTTATTTTTTTAATACCATTTATTATAGGTTTTCTTTCCATGCCACTAAGCAAACAAATTTGAATGTTAAACACGTTCATTTTCAAAATCAAAGCAAATTTTATGACCCAAATGTGATAAATATTGTATTCAAGGGCGCATCAGAAAATCCCGAAAAGTAACAGCAACTGAGTAAGCGATAATTCGCCTTGAGACGAATCGTTGATACCCGTTCACATATAATTGCAAGAATATCATCTTAAATATGGGTAGGTGTCACTTTGCCGATAGTTAAAATATTTTACTTATCTTTTTCAACTGATCCTAACGTACGTCCTATGTACGTTTCATATGTTGCTTTATTGACAACATATTTTAAGTTTTTGTTTTTCTCTCATGGTCGTGACGATGAATGATTTTTACAAATGCACCGATTTTCTAACTAATATCTGTAATGAATGCATACCGATTTAAAGCCAAGGGCTGACCAATGGTATAGTTACTTTTTTGGAATCTCTGAACTGCATTTCGGAATATTACAAACGAAAGCACGAATATAGCATACATCTGTTAAGGGGATAGTGCGTATATTGAATATTTACTCTGCACAATGATGTGAAAAACTTTATACCTTATTATTAAATATTTCAATGTATTTAAGCTGCTTTTCAGCAAATTTCTTTCTTTAATCTTTTGAATGCAACTCCTGATCTCTCAAATGAATGCCACATGCATTATATGTTTCAAGGTTAAGGTCAAGGTCTGTATGTTTTGCGACAGTTCACAACCCTACTTAATACAATAAAACTGATATCGAAAGGACTTTTTTTATGATTAATCCTTGTAACGAGAATACTGAGACCAATCACAGCGCCTGTATGTATTCCTAAGATTAGAAAGTTGAAGCGAAAAGTATCAGCTCGTCTCAACTCTAATACGTTTCTTGGACGGACTGAAAGAAGAATCAAAGAACTTTGATTTCAAAGTGTGATGTCGGAGGAGATATTTTGCACAAGCAGTCTTGACCAGACTAACAACGAGCTGTTTTTATGCATTTGTTACTAATACACAAAAAAGAAACCTTTTCTTCGCGAATCAATTTTGAATTTTCGTTAAATTTTTTTAAAACGTTTCCAGCTCCCTTGACAGAACATGGGAAATAACAAATTTTTAACTCGAAGAATACCACATTTGGGACTTTAACGTATGTGATCTTCACATTTGTCGTTGCTTTTAGACGATGAAAAATCATTTTGCTTAAATTAAGCATATTCGCTGGAGCATACAAACCAGCAAACATTTCGTATGAACACTTTTTGCACATTAGTGTGCAGAAGAAATTTAACGGTCAGTAGGCTGCTAGACTAGATTTAAAGACGGGTCTTTCCCCTTCTTTACCGTATAATTTTACTCTTGAATGATTACTTTTCTCAATACATTGTTTCCGAAACGACTGTGTGTGCGTAAAATTATAAAAGCAAAAATTTTACATTCGTAGAGTTTCAGTGACATTAGTTAATTTCACATACAACACATAAAACAATAAATGTCTGCTCGGTGACTATAGACTAAATTTCTATTTCTTTAGCTTATAATAAATAGTTGATGTTGTGTTTTAATAAAAGGATAATATGAGTTCCTTTCATGTACTGAAGTTTATAATAATCATTTTATTGATTGTGAATGCAAGCAGAAAAATAAAAGCTAAATATATAGCATATAATGCGTTAAGCAGTACCGCGCCGATTAACTCTACTATAATGGCGACAGAATCCTCTTCAATGTCATGGATTAAGGAAATGCGAATAGTGAATCAAGCGCTAAAAGAATGCGAGAAAGTATGAATGCGAAAGTGTTTCATTATGCTTTACTACATCATCAAAGATAATCTCTCTTCTTCTTCTTCTCTTTTCGATATGTGTTACTGCAGTCATTGTCGTTTGGTGTGCGTAAGAATTCCACTTGGTATTGTGTCAAAACCGTCAGCTTACAATTATTTGAAAATATCTCTTCACGTGCGATTATACCTTTATGGCGCGGTATACGTTTCATTATACGTACACCATTGCCTGATGATAATGGAGAGAAAGAACGTGTTCATCATCAAAAGTATTATGAAAATTTCCTGTGTTCTTAATTTGAAATACTTTTTCCTTTACTTTTTCTTCTTCACTCAAGTGCCCATTGGCATCGTAAAGATATAAAATATTTAACATGGTTCGATCGTGTGGCAGTGAGCTTTTCAAAAATTCTTAGCACACATGTACTGGAAATAAATCTAAAGCAGTTAACGGATTATTATATACAAACAATGGAAAAGTGTAAGTAAATTATAGAAAAAAAAAAATGTGCGAAGCAAGCGTAACAAAGTAATTTATCGGTTGACAAATAAGTACGAAACTTGGTAAGAAAATTAGGTTCGATTGCAAGCGAATCGTTGTGTCTGTCCATCATTGTTTTCCTATCACAGATTGAGAAAAAGGAAAAACATAGCTTCATAGTATTGAGTGGGCATGGCTGATTTTTTCAGCCTCTGTTGAATCATTTTGTGGAAATTTTTATCGGGTATCTGTTGTAGTTGCGCTGTAGCGACGAGCAAAAGGCACGAAAAACAAATGTGTTCTCAGTGCGGGCATTGCGGGCGTGTGCTTTAACCTGCTTGGACCATTTCCAGAAATCGAACGGGAGAACGCGCGCCACAGATACTACACACTTCGGCAGACGGACAGATGTACAGATAAACAGACGAATATGCTTAGGCGCATTGCGAACATGGAACTGGCGAAGAATTTTATGGGACGAAATTATTTTTCATTTTCTTTGTTTTCCGGGAAAGATGGTACAACTAACGATTTAAGCAACTTAGATGCAGTTGGAAGTGCCCGTCATCGCCGCCATCGCTATAACATGATGATGACCATGATGTTCGGTGTGACAGCGTTCGGCGCAGTTGTTGTACCAATGGGATTTCAACTATTATCAATAGTAAGCGGTAAAGCATTACTGCTGGCTAAAATGGCATTGCTATTAGCGTCAATTAATGGCTTGAAACGAGTAAGCTCGACATAATAATGCATTAATTAAATGAGAGAAATTATTACAAAAGTAGATAAATAAATTATTGTCGTTATTTAGGTGGCCAATAGCGGTATTCACTACGGACTCTATCACACACCTAGTGAGCATTATGGCAGCTATTACGATCGTGGAGATGTACATCATCCGAGAAATGTACCCAACTTGACGCCAATTGTGCAACCTGTAGAATTGATTTGATTGAACACAACTGAGATTAAATAATTTCAAGCTATGAGTTTTAGTTTTTTTTGGCAAAATCCAATTCTCCCAAAACAAAGTGAAATATATTTTTCAATCCAGTTTATAAATATGTGAGAGACAATTAATTGCTTTTTAAGTTTACTTGTACAATTTCTTTGAATATATACAAATCGGTCTGGCAATTGATCACTTGCTTGAAAATAACACAAATATGTCAAACACATACACATATTTATATCTATACATATGTGTGTACATTCAAGTGTATCTGATGTAAATCACGCAAAAAAAAAAAAATACAAACGACATATGGTAGATTTTAGGATATATTCCTTTAGAGAAACTTTAGATATTTTCCGAAAAAACCGTGCAAAAAAGGTAATAATGAAATCTATATTACATATTTATAAAACAAAGACAACCCATTTTTATTAAAAAAAAAAAAAAAAACATTAAATTAGATCAATCATTAAATTAGATCCATCAGTACAATATATAAAAAGTTGAATTGACATTAGGAATAGAAATCAATTTCGCAATAATTCATCTCTGCTTGATAACAAGCGTGAACTTTTATTACGAAGTGAACCAAAGATGCTGTCGTCAGTGAATATGTCAAATACATCCAGCACAACTGACTTTTTTCATTCAAAAATGAAGAATGGTCAACAAAATTCGGGTTCTCCTCGTAGTAGGGCATAAACTGACCGTTTGTATTACGCCAATTATATTTTGTTGCTGCTTAGAAAAGTCTTTGTAAGATAATGTCCAAATTAGAATTAAAAATAAATCGTGGAAAAAAAATTGAACAAAAAATTCGTGTAAAAAGTGTATTTATTCTTATTGTCATTATTTCAAAATCGTGTAAAAAAAGAGTTGATTGCATGAGACAGATAGACAGACATTTTATAAAAAAACTAAGCAGACGTTACACGGAAGAATTATGAAAAGAAAAAGATTTACTAGAACGAAGAGCGGGATGGGTAAGGGATGGACAGAAATTTAAAATTATAATAATAATTGGGTAACTCTGGCTGAAAGCTTACAGGTTTTAAACTTTACTAAGTTGCTCAACGAATCACAAATATTCATGCAAAGCAATGACAACAAAAACAAGAACAAGTGGTTTTCATTCATAAAATTTCATATGTTTAGCGCAAGCTTTGGCTTATTCACAGCGGTAGGAAGGACTATAAAAGGATATGTTCTACTGATAACAATTACAGTTCGCTTTTCTTTCGATAAGTTAATGGTTAATCAAAACAAAGTCTACTTATTTATAATTGCTAAGTAACGGTTTTTTGATATTAAGAAAAGTATTAACTTGAAAAGAAAATAAGAAATGGTCTTCGAATGGTTTGCTAACTTACAAATGCATTTAAATAAAGTTTAATTAAATGCTAAGTAATAAATATAAATAAAATCAAAATACTTTTTCGAGTTGAGTGAAGTGAATTAAATGACGTATAACTGTAATGACGATCGGGAATTTTTCCTAAGCATACCATTAACTTGCAATTAAAGCAACTAAAATACATCTACACGAAAATTGAAAACTCTTCACAACATTTCACTTACGTTTGAAGAATCGTTATGAAGGCAACAGTATTCCTATCACTGTCAATTATATTACTAAGCGTTAAGGTAGGTAAAGGTTGTTTATTTAAACTAAATTAATTTCGAGTGTGCACGTGAGTGCTAAACATGTGTGCTATCATATTGCATTATATCGTTTACGTACTTATGTACGGTTGGAAAGTGTTATCCGCTTAATAGAACTTCACGTTCACCTTAAACCATTAAATAAATTTTCTGTGTCCTTAGACGCAGCAATGGTAGTCAGTTTTACCTTAAGCACTGTATATTTAGTATCTTTAATGTCAATTAAGGCAAAAAAAAAAAAAAAAAAAAAAATCATCTTGAATTATTTGAAAGAAACGGGGCGAGTAATGTAATTTGAAGGCGTATTTTGGATGACATTCTACCAAAAAAATTTCTGTTTAGTTCTTAACGCGCCCTAATCTATGTTAAAATTCACCATCACGATGACTTCAAGGACAGGTCGTCCTTTTCTTTTTTTTGAAGAAATCAATTTACCTCAAAGATGTTGTCCGCTAAACATTTTCCGGCTTTATAAACAAATAAATTACTTTCCACTTTGCTGTCCTTCTTCAAATATACGTTTGTATAATTTTTCTACGTACACTATCGCCAAGTAGCGATATATATATATATATATATATATACATGCAGGAACTTTTGTAATGAATGTATGACATGTCCGTTCGTGCGTGTGTAAATTAGTGTAGAAAGTTGAAATTCGGTTTCTATGCTCGTCTTCTTCAAAGTGAAACTAAAAACGGACGGAAGAAGAAAAGTTAAAACCATTTTTTTTTTTTTTTTTACCCAAGATAGGAGATGATTAGGTTAAATATGTTGTCATCAAACAGATCATCGGACAGTCGAACATATATACTTAAGATATCAGCTAATCAACAATATTTAAACAGAAACATAAATTAAAAAACCAAAAAAAAAAAAAAGTAGAAAGAAATGCAAATCAGAGAATTTCTAATGTCTACGTGGTCTTCATCAACCTAGGGTCGTGGGAGAATTTATCTGTATCCACCTCTTGTCTATTGTTCATATCAAAGCAAAAAGAGCAGCTATAAAAAGTCAAAAATTGATTGGTAATGCTTTAGGTTGAAAGCCATAAATCGAATTTAAATCAAGTAAGAAAATTATATTCCTCTTCGACCGAATCTTTTATATCCATCAACGTTATGCTTAAAAAGTGTAAAGAAGAAATGGAAAATCACATAAATACTGTACCATATTAGATAAACATTAGATAGGTGTGGCTGATTTTTATAGAGTATACATGGAAATATTTATTGTATATCTGCGACAATTTAGGAGTAACTAAGCAAAGACCCTGGAAAGCGGAAATATTCTCAGTTTACGTAAGGTATCTGCTTTAGACAATTTGTCCCTCAACAGTTTTCAATATCGTCCGATCTTGAACTTGGAAAGATGTTAGTGTAATAAATTTCATCAAAATATTCTGTCGATTGAAAACAAGAAAACAGATAGACAGATAGACGGGCAGATAAGTTTGCTTGGCTTAAAGACGGGTCCATCTCAAGTGTCTTCTGGGTGTTTCATACATCCTTACAAACTTATTACATTCTTGTATTCGAAGTCGTATAAAGTACAAAACCAATGCCAGCAAACGTGCTTATGAAATAAAATGCATTTATGATAAATGCTTTACCAGAAAGGACGGCGACAGTGTACTCTCAAAAATTATTTTATCATTGTTTTCAATTTGAATTTTGTTCGAATAAAGAAACCAAATTAAGCATTGTTGTTCAAAAGTGCTTACCTTCGTTCGTTCAGAATCATATATAAAATGCTTTGATAATCCAATTTTATATTTGCATTTTGCTGCATTTTCCAGTTGTGCATGCATGGAATAAAAAATTGAAGTATATTTAAATTTCTTTTTGTCATAAAATTCCCCCAACCTTGTTGGAGAGAGGATACAGTAAAATATATTCAAAATGTATACAACAACAGCGAGAATGAGCAAAAATTCATGATTTGAATTGAATCATGGGGTACAATATGTCTGCGGTTAAGGATCGCTTCACGCAAACAAATTTAAAACTTACAACCGAATACATGCAACTTAAAATTGTCTGCTTGTTGTGCTATATAGCTACAGTTCTAATTACCTACAATTTCATTGCAGGCTCAATAGTCTGATAGTGGTTAAGTTTTAAGTGGCGTGTATGTGTATGTATATTGCGAACAGTGATAAAGGGGATGGAGATAAAGGGAGGAACGAATAATATAAGCCACAGAGAGATTTTTAGCAAAAACAGAAACAATTACGTTACTAGCAAACATTGTTTTTTCAATTACTTTTTTTTCTTTTTGTTTTCACAGTTCGCCTAATACTGTTGTACGCATTCCGCCAGTGATGCTTGATTTATTGAAAACGTAACGTACGTAAGCTTTCATACGTTAAGAAATAGTATCAGCGCAGCTTGTTTTAACTCTAGCCAGTTAATAGTTTTTGATAAGATTCGAAATTTTGCAGACTGCATGAAGTTGGGGAGTAGCAAATGGATGAGAATGAATCTAAAATATTCCAACTCTTCATGAGAATTTAACAGATGGCCCTGTTTGGCTTACATAATCGAAAGAAACAGACAAATTTTAGCAGTTTATACTACTAGTCTAGAATCTATATAGATTTGAGCAACGATTGGCCTAACAGTTGCGAATTCTCTTCACTTGAAGTAAATGTTCAGCAGCAAATGAATAATTCTTAAGTTGATTCTCTAACTCTTTCTTTGCCATTAAGTCTTCTTATTATATGGTTAATGAATTGAAGTAAACTTTAACTTAGACAATAGTTACCGTTACCGTCGAGTTTTGTTAGTCGCATTAGCATTTTCAAATTGCTTACAAAACCTCATCAAATGAAACAGATGCGGGAACTCTGACTTGAAATTTAGAATACCTCTATGCATATATATGAAAATAGTTTAACAAGTCATGCCAAATATCGATAGCAATTTACTCAACCGAATATTCAGTTCAGAGGGCAATGAAATTTGTTGTCGTTGGTGTGGATGTTAATGGATGAAGTGTTAAAGAATGTTTAAGTATAATATAAAAGCTGATTTTTGTAGATATTTAAATCCTCTGTCTCTCTTTCTCTCTCACTCTCTGTCCCTCTTTACACATTTACGAAATTATAAACCTTATTTCCCGTAAGTAGATACGTGTCACTGATTTTTCCAGCAAAACTTATTTAGTATAATTTCATAAATTTACTTAAACGAAGAGTTTTACCTTGTTCCAAAGAAAAGAGGGGTAGAAAATGCTTATTAATTGCCTAGAATTTTGACAAGTAAAAACACTATACAGAGGCAAGGCGTTCGTCCATAGGCCAAAACATGTCGACAGACCGAATATCATGGAAATATTTCAGAAATTATAACCGGTAGGTTAAACAGAAGAAACGAAGATGAACGGAAGGATGGACGGACGGACAGATAAGCTTAGATTGATTAAGATTCCGCGACTCTGTGTTAATCGCTTTTAGAACAAAAAAAGAAATATGTATAGAGAGAACAATGATCCAGCATTTTAGTATAGAATTTATTTCACTTACCATTTTATAAACGACCTCTGGCTGGAACAGCGCTGTAAAGTGCAAAAAAGAAAAATTTTTTTCATAATTAAAATGTTTAAAAATTAAATAGAAAACAAGTAAAAACACTATAATGGGACACGACCCATTATTAATTACTCTACATCATTTCGCTTAGTACATTCATATAACGACTTTTGAAAATAATGCTTTATATGGGAATTGGTCAAAATGTAGGTTCAACATAAGAGCATAAGATGGATGGGCGAACAGAAAAAAAAAAACAAATTTGGACCAACTCAGAAAGTGATAACGAGTCGATCGAGTCGGTGTAACAAAAGGTGGATCTATCTCAAGTTCTTCTGGATGTTGCAAGTAATGTAGGGTAGAAATATTATAAATTGGAAAATTTAAACCGCTTTCTTTTCACTTTAAGGCATATGGCTATGTTGCATAACATTTTGCAACTTTTGCTTTGATTTAAATCGCTTATTGCGGCAAACTAGAAGAGGAAGCAAATCCACTACTCTTCCTGTGCACAGTGTTCTGTAAAAAAAAAAAAAGGAAAAACTCCAAATATGAATGATTTATGAATTTCATTGAAAAACGCAATCAAATATAGGATGAACGATCAATTAACAGTGCTCTTCTTCTTTCTAGCAAACATAAATGCCGTAATGCTTTAAAAATGTCTTTATAAATACAATCAAAATATGTTCACCTTTTCATCGAAATGTAATATGTATGTAGATAATGGCGAAAATTTAATTTTACAGACCTTCAAGCTATTTTGCTTTATAGTTTAAGTTGAAACTTAATCTCTCTTTTTAAGGTTATTTAAATTATTATTAAAAAGTGACTTAATGAAATCATTGTCTTTCCAAGAAAGCAAATTTAATTACATTTAATATAATAATTACGCTTCGAGCTAAACAAATCTCGTTCGCGTTTCCAATACCAATATTGCGGCAGTTAAAAACAATTCCTCCTTAATGATATCTAAATATTTTTCAATAAAATATTTAAAATCAAATTCTGCAATCAATTAATTAAATTTGATGCACGATCTCAATATAGGCTCAATATAGAAAGAAATTAAACCGATTATATAACTGCTTAGTAGATACCTGAAAAGAGAATACAAACTTGCTTCAACCAGATAAAATTTTGAATTCTGTGCTATACAGTTTTTTATTAGCTCTTAGAGAGCTTAAATGAAAATCATTTGACCGAAGGTGTCAATGTTAATAATTTCGGTGAATAAAAGCGAAAAAGTCTAGAAATTTGCTGACAGCTTAAGAGGAAGAACGAAATAGCGAGTCGAATAGTCGATTGTAACTGTATTTTATTATAAAGTTGATTATATTCCAAAAGTAGAGAAAATTACTATTTTAAAAATATCAAGTGTGAACTTTGTGTATTAAGTTAGTCATGCCAATGCCTTCTGCAAATTGTTTGAAATTATTGTCGCCGAAATTTTAAAATTTATCTCAATTCATCGAGTAAAATCTTGGACGGACAGACAGGCTTAATTCGCTTCAAAATGTCCTGATCCTGAGCGCGATGTAATAATAGACGGGGGTCTAACCCCAATTCTTTGTGAGTGTTGTGTATATACGCACAAACTTTGGACGGCCTTCCGTGGTGTAGGCTATAATTACAAATTCGTCCTTGAAGCAATTTACAAATCCTTGATCAACACGTATTTAGATTACAAAGTTGAAACATGAAATTCAGTTGAGGTATGTTTCACACCTTCATAGCAATTTTTGCAAACTCAAAAGTTCATCGTACGGCAGGAAGAAGCTAGTCGAGATTCCTCACCTTCGGCTACTCAGGCGGACCAGAGAACTAATCTAGAATGTCTGATTTGCGATAAAAGCAGGGATCATTCTCTTCTAAGCTAATTTTGTGAAGGAAAAAAAAAAAAACACAAAGGAATTACTTTTGTCCCTTCTATATACTATACGGTATAGCGTAAGTCGTTTCAAATAAATAATAAATTAACCGAATTAATTTAATAAACAACAACCCTAACCAAATGAAATTGATAATATTGAACGTAGCATAACAAAAAAAAAAAAAAAAAAAAAAAATGAAGAAATTTCTTTTAAAACTTTCCGAGCTTATCAGTACAGTGCAGTGCAATATGATATAATGAAGAGAATTAAATTAAAATGATCTAAATATTTATATAGATTTTCTTCTTTTTACTTATCTTAAAGAATTTATTCATTATCTCTCTTAATTAATCTACTGGCCAAGTTCTGGCGACGATAGATTAATTTGAGGTAAATGTTTTAAAACTTTAAAACTTTATTTACCCAATATTGTGTCGTTGTTGTTTCCCTTTCTTTAATCCATTATACGAAATGTATATAAAACAAAAAATATTGAAAATATTTTGAAAGAACATTTTCTCTGCATTCTAAGAAGACGCGAGAAGATATGTGCTTGCATAAATTGCTTATGACATTCTTAGTAGTAGCTGTTTTCATAATAAATTGCGTATTAATTGAAACAAATGAGTTAATTGATGAACACGATGATAACATTAATAATGATGGTGATTATATGAAAATAGTAAAAATAGAAAATCAACTGAGTATGTTAGTGAATGGAACAACAATAGCAACTGCTAATGCGATAGCAAATAAAGCATTGCAAGTGAGTTGTGAGAGCTGACGTGAATGTAACTTGTCTGAAAGTCTTGTCTAAAATTCTCAAAAAGTCTTTGCTTAAACAATCGCAATTTCTATTAATTTTTGTAGAGTCAAAGACAAGAAAAATCTTTATTTATGGTACGAAAAAAGAATCGAAGATGTGATGGCTACAAGCACGATGGCAGTGTAATTAAATGTTAAGCAATAAATGTAAATGAAATTGAAAAAAAAAAAAAAAACAAAAAAAAAAATAAAATAAAATATTTCCATCGATCGTTAATAAAAAAAAAAAAAAAAAAAAAAAAAAAAAAAAAGGCAAAGAGAAGATCAACATGATTGCGCTCAGTAATAGTTACAAAATTTTAATAATATTTTCTTTGTTAATTTTTCTAAGTCAAGAAATTCAAATGACTTCAAAAAGCCTGAAGGCTAGTGGTGAAAATAATGTAAGAGAGCTTTGCAAAAATGATTAATTAATTCATTTAAAAATTATTAACTTGAGTATATTTCTTTCGATTTTGTTTAATATAGCAGTCAGAGCCTGTGTTACCAGATGTTATTGTGGCTTCGATATTTAGTCCTAGAGCACGTTGCGGATATAGACATAACGGTGTCCCGTTAAAGTGTGCAAAAGACAAATAATAATATCCAAAAAAAATTTATTTTCTAAGAATTTCAAAATTTCGATTTAATTGAAAAGTAATAACAACAACATGCATATGCATGTTTATTCATAATATGATCACATACATCGCTCAATAACTCTCCGGTCTGACATGTACATGGCAACGCTGTTAACCGATGCAAATAATTCAAATGTCATGAAATGTTGACATAAATCATTTGATGGTTGTTGATATTCGATCGAGAAATTCACATAGCCGTAGACTTATTGAGTGATGTTATTATTATATATATGTGACATATTTTGTATTTATTTGTAACTTTTATTACGTATGCAACACATGCACATATATTTATGTGTGTATGCACAATTGCATTGATATCTGCCAGCCATCACTCTTTTAAAACACAGTACAGTACAATGATCTGTGACACGACCAATGACGGATATCGTTATTTACTTGTTTTTCTTATTTTAATCTGCTTTTTATTGCACACTTGTGCTTGTTATCAAACGAAGAGGTTTGTCTTTAAAAGTTTATAGTTCGCTAACAATAAATAGTCTAAAGCAAGCACAATAAGTTCCGAATAGCAATAAAATGCATTGTATTAAGATTTTATTAATAATAATTTGTTGCTGTTTTTTTTCCACTTATAGCAAATCGGTTAATACCGATTTTTTTAAATTACGCAAAAAAACTAATGTAAGTATGAATGAGACAAGCGATGAGATAGCAGATCGTAGATTTGCTTCTTGCGGTTCTTGTTTTTGTTCTTATTGTCTTATTTTGTATTTCTTCCCTGATTTTGTAGCTAACAGAAAACACAAGGAAATTGAGTCCTATGATTTTGACGGTTAGACATCGTTTCGCATATTGCGGTTTAACACATACCGGCAAACCAAGGCGTTGCTCTCGCAGGCAATTTGTTGCTTATAATAAAAAGGCAAAATTATAAAATACTTTACTATTTAAAATGTAATTGGATTTTAAGTAAATGGAACAAATGGCACAAACTCCCTATGAAAGGCTTACGTTATCAAAGTAGATTTAAAGCATTAATTCCTGCTTCCCTGCAGATATCGAACGATTCGACAGAAAACTCAATCTGAGTACGGAGTGCATTGTAATTTCATTCCGCCGGACAAGGTATGAATAGGCCTGTGCAAGGTATAAATAGGCCTGAGTCTCATTACCTTTTATCCACTGTTGTTTGTTGCATTGGAAAATCGATTTCTATGAAGTCTAGTACTCTCCAATGTGTTCCTGATCAGATTAGTAAGTAATCTGGTTTATACAGATTTTACTGAACTCTTATCTTCTCTTCCGCTTGCTTTCTCTCACTCTCTCTCTCTCTCTCTCTCTCTCTGTTTCACGCGCTCACACACGCTTACGCTCTTTCTTTTCTCCCTCTTTGCCAAGCTCACATCGTCGCAAAACAATTGAACTCATCTGACTAACATATTGCGATGCTTCCGCTTTAAAGTGTTTACAACTAAATTGGAAGCTTCCAATACATTCCTGAGTTTAGAGCATAAAAAATCGAATTTCTTACAGATTTTATAAAAGAAGAAAAATTTCATATTTAAAAGAAAATTTTGCCATTTTTATTTGCCTTACTTCAAAGTGACAAGTGATCGAGTCAAACTGGTACTACAAAGTGACGTAAGGATGATAAGAGAGCGATATTAAAAAATAGATTGTAAAATGCGCACTTTTTTCCCGATTCCAAAGATTATAGAAACATTGCTTCTGCATTACTAGAGAAGTGTACCCAGCTTAGCAGTTTTTTTAACCATTTATAACTTACTTTAATCGTCTGCTTTTATCCGTTCTAGCATCACTTGTAAATCATATTTTCAATCAGTTCCAAGGCATTTCTCTTTTTTTTTTTGTCTCATATTAAATATTCGACTCGATAAGAGTTCTTTAAATTAGCAGAAAGCTTATGAAATCCTGAGAGAATTTGTTTTGAAAAACAAGTCAGGCAAACAAGTCAATGGAAAACAAAAGGATTTATTTATATAACGCATTCATTTCATTGAACGCAAAAGCACAAATTAGAAATCATTTCTTATTCAATCTATGACATTTTATTATTTCTAAAATAGAAATCAATACAAAGAAAGCCCACACAATTCGATAAAATGGTTCATTCACACCAATCCTCCCGATAAACCGAAATCATTGCATTTGATTGCTCGACCATCGTGCCTTCGTCCACATTTTCTATATTGATTAGGTGCATTAAATAAAAGCATGTCTGGATGGCGCGGCTCCTAAAATTTATATGAATTAAAGAAAATTTTTCGATAACGAAATTTGGAGAACGCAATTACCGGCACCAATACGGCTCTGTCGCATTCACAAAGCGTTAGAAAAGTCAATAATAAAACGTAAAGCCATTTAAAGCAGTCCATAGTTTAAAATGCATATTGTAACTGAACTGAATTTATTATAATTATTATTATTATGAAGCATTCATTCATTATTCAATGCGAAAACAAAAGAAAAATATATACTCAGTTTAATAGAAAAATAAACTACTGATAAGCATTTTATTTAAAAATTTTTATACATTTTAATTTTTTATAAATTCGCAAGCATCACATACGTGTAGTATATGTCGTGTTATGTTTTCTCTTTGAATAGCAATAGCGCTCATTGAAACTTTTAAATAAAAGACTCAAACGTCAAATTATTTAAAAAATGCTGAGCGATTGCGGCGCAATAAAAAAAATTAAATGAACGAGCAAAGCTCGGCCCTCCGAATGCTGTATACTTTTTGCTTAATGCAAATGTAATAAGGTATTCAGTAAATGCTCCAATGAATTAATTAGTGCCATTGTACGCTATACCCGTTGTAGGCAAGGGCAGATTAAAGTGTTCGAAATCAAGAAGGTCTTGACATACAAGCACGTTGTCTTCGTCTTGAGACAGACTCCACTTGTCTGTCCATCTGACCGTTTTCTGTCTTCCTATTCAACCTAAAGGTGAAACTATTTCAAGAGCTATTGATCAAGCATTTATAAATTGCTTCAGGTGGGAATTTGTCGCGGGAGTCTATTCAATGTTTGCACGGATGTACACAACTCATTATTATTATTATATCGGTCGCTTCATAAAGGCATGGCAGTCTTATCTTTCCTTGCAACGCCTTCGTTCGCCTTAGTCGTTATGTGGTGATGTAGGGTGTTTAATGATAGGCTGACTTTTTACTTGTTTTTTTATAAAATTTTGTTTACCAAATTTCTAAATCTGCTGCAGACTTAGAAATTTGCTGAGTGCGGTGATCTCTTCTATGTATTCTTGTGTATGTGACAAAAGTGATGAATAATTAATGTGCCTTGTTTCTCCGATGAAGGGTATTGCAAAAAATTGAGCAAAACATTAGGTCACTGAACACTTCAGGAATTATGCAGTTAAAGTAAACGCAGGAAAAAAAAAAAACAAACCATAAACTTATGCATTTTTTGAAGGTTTGTATTGTGGTTATCTGAACGGTCTTTAACCCATTAAAGTTCACATTTACTATCCATTCTTTATGGAAATTACTTTGCGATTGTTTGAAAGTTTATTCAATTTTGCTTTGTTAGAAAGTTATGCAGTTTTCTACGTTGAATTTTCACACTGCAATGACTTTGCTCGTTAGAATAATTCTCTCATGCATCAATCATCAATCAGTCTAGACATTTGCGATAAAGCATATTCACCAATTTTGGGAAAGCTCTTCATCTTCTTGAACTTTTGTTAAATTACTGTTTGGTTAAATGCCTAGTCGTGCATCTTATGCCATGCAGTGCATGCATATGTGTAAGGCAATTGAAATTGAAATGTTTCTAATGAAAAATAGCTGGCCGCCGCAATAAATGCTTTTAATTATTACTTTTCAATAATAATCACTAATGAAATCTATTCATGGTTTATATACGAGGTGTATTCAAAAAAAAGAGGACGAATTTTTTATTTTTCTCAAGAATACCTATTTAAACATATGATATATGTTTGGGACAAAAAAAAAAAAAAAAAAAAAAAAAAAAAAAAAAATTTAAATTGAAATTGGAATAGTTGAATATGTTGCTTTGAAAACGCCTCGTATACAAGAAACTGTTTAATATTTTTATACATACACATATACGTGTGTATTGCATTTAAAATATGTTGTATTTTTTTTTTATTAAAACTCTTTTACAATTTGTGTTTACAGGCATGGCCAACAGTGAAGCGGGCATTTGATTTATATCCAGAAACACATGAAATGCATACAATAACAGGTATGCCTAAGATAATATTTTGAATTTAAATTTAAAAAAAAAAACATATATATTTTCTTTGTGTGATATGAAACGTTATCATGTTTGAGTTAACTAACTTTGGCCGTTTATTAAATAAATTTTTAAAATTCACGCACTATAAACTTTCATTCATTTAAGTTCCTATTCCTGCACTTGAGTAAATATTCTTTATATATGTTTGTATTATGTAATATATATATGCTATACCTGTAGCATATAAATTTATTCTGTTAATAACTAACTAAAGCTAATTTATGAATATATGCCGAGTCGATGTACACATATATAAGCGAATCTATTGTCTGCTTTAATGAAACATACCTACCTATTATGAGTTGTATACGAGCATGTTTATGACGAATTCATAGCGTAAAAGCTTCTTGGCTTCTTGTCTTTTACGCCTACGTATTCACATCATATACTGCCGCCTGTTGTTAAATCGATTTAATTTACGCCGCAATATGTACACAAGCACCTAAAAGTTTATAATGACGGTTAAATGGATCGCCCTTGGTAACCATTGGTATTATTATTAGTTACATGTGCAACGACTTAATGGTTTTCAAAGACTAAAACCGCTTAAATATCTATTTCGTTTGAGAAAGCAATCCTTAAGAGGATGAGACATCATTAGTTAGCTAAAATTCAATAACAACTAATACGATGTAATTTATAATCAAAAACAAATCAAATATTTTTTCCACCATATGTTTTTTTTTTTTTGCGTATAATATTCAAAGTTTCTCTCTGTTTGATTAGAGACGATGGTAACGATGCTTTTAATTTCACTAAAGATTTTAGATAAAATTTTTTAATATTAAATCTGCCAACAGTTCGATACGCTTAGGATTACGAAATTAATCATTTTTTTGACATTTTCATCATAGATTGCATGCATGTTGCCACCGAGCCAGGCGACTATGTTTTCAAAAAATCCCTATCATCGGCGCAACGTTTCTCTTTCGATAAACTAAATGAAAATGAGTTCAATGAAGAAGGACTTGAACTAAAGGAACTTGAAGATGCCATTAATGTTTGCGGTCTCTATATAATTGGCGAACCGAATACTTTAGTCGAGATAACAATGAAGCACTATGACGTCAATTGCAATAGTGGCGGTTTAATGGCGGTAAATAATTTCTTTCCCAAATTTTCCAAAAAAAAAATAAAAAAACAAACACAATTAAAATGGGCTATAGAGGGCCACAGTCCCCTATTAAATACTCTACACCATCCTACAGGGGTTGGGGTGGGGAACGTAGTCCGATCCGAACCATTTTCCTTAGAGTTCGTCCTTGGGTCAAAACGCATCGGTGTACCAAATTTCATCACAATATCTATTGTGACCTGTAAGCGAGAGTACACGAAGGGCAGACGGACAGACAAGGTTGTATCGATCCAGAAAGCTCTACAACAAGTGACGTAGGGTATGAAAACAAGCATAAAACATTAGACCTTACCCCATTGGCAAAAGATCGAAAAGATTTACAAAGACCTTTACCCCGAATGCAAAACATGTTAGATCCGCGATAGAAGAAGTATGAGAGAAACATTTTGCTGGAGTATGCAGCAACTGTGGCGCTACTGCAATTGCAGGCCAAATTTATTTTATTATTTTGAGAACAGAATTGACACTGCAGCCTAACCAGTTGTTTGTAATGCAAAGTCATTTGTCTAAAGCTTTTTTTCAATAAGATTAACATGACTATACCTACACTTGTTAGAAAAAAAGATTTTTATTTCGTTGAGTTATTCGCAAGCCTTGCAGGCCTCAAAAACATCCCCCAGCTACCACACCACAATGGTGTAGAATATTGAATGTTGTTTGGTAATTTGTTCAACTAAAGTATTTGTTTATTTACTTTACACTTAATCAGTTTGTAGACGGTTGGGAATTGAACGGTGAATATTTTCCTGCTATCAATGATCATCATCGTACGTTAGAGGATAGATTGGTAGAATTTTGTAACAATTACAAACGATGGTAAACACTTATCCTCTGAATGTATAATAAATGAAAATATAATTTTCAAATATTTTAGGCCACACGTAATGAATAAGAAATTTTTTCGATCAAGTCAAAATGCTGCTTTGCTGCAATACCGCTTGCCTACGAAAGGAAGTTTTATAGCAAATGTTCGCTTTCACAAAATTACACAACGTTCGTATTACCTACCTACCTACCTCTTTTACTTTTAATTTTCTCATCTAATTCTACACACACGCGCACATACACACACACACACACACACGCACACACGCACACATGCATACATTTTCATTTCATTCAATGATTTTAATATAGCCTGCAACATCTTGGTCCACGATATCTCTGCTTTATACAATCTCGCCAACTATGGATTTAAAAGGAATTGTTCTATCTCTGCTCTATTTCCTGCGGTCGTTCAACTAACCAATATCAAGGTGGGCGGTAAATCAATGCGTAAAGGCAAAGTCAGTTATGAGGTAAAATTACATTCAAAAAACGCATAACAAAAGAGATTTTGTTCAAAGATATCCTCCTAGTGTATGCAAAATGACGATTATTTAGAAATTGGAGGTTCTCCGGGCTTAGATTCAACGCATATGGAGAAATCAAGCGATATATGCGGTTACGCAGAAACTCCAGGTTAGTTAGATGAAAATACGAAATCCTTTCTCTAATAAATGCAATTATCGTTAATTTCATTAATAGGACCCGAACAGGCCATTTTCTGCGGTGTTACTACAGCTCGTTTAGTTTCTAGCGGCCGCTATCAAAATCACGTTTCAATTATGATACGTAAAGCAGATGCGGAAGATCTCGATTTAGCCACTTTGGTGTGCGCGTTTTAAAATTAGTTTAAGAAAATATTGATGATGATGATGATGATGATGATGATGAAATTGTGTAAATATTTCGTAAATTTCAAAAGTATTGAAAGAAAAGCTTTACAAAACACACAGTATTCAAATGTAATAGTTTCCCGTGTCATTTATGTGCAATAAACATTAAACATATTGAAGGATTGAATTCTTCTTCAGCTTTATATATATATATACATATATGTCATAGTTTGAAATAAAATAGAGAAATTTCTTTTTGCTGTGTAGTATTCTCTTTATAACGTATCTTTACATATCGTTTCTTTACTAACATTTCTATGGTAGATCGAGAGGTTTCGAGAAGAGAAAAATCTTATTTACTTTGAATGGAGCTTCTTAACATGCGTCATTTGCTTGTGTTTGAAAGCGGAGCTTTTAATTATTACAATGTACATATTATCGTCTATTCGCAAATATTTACGATATCGTACGCGTTATCCGGTATATGGATATATGTTAGGTTGGCGGAGAAAATCCGCTCGCATGTTAAGTAAAACATTTGAATTGGTATTTTGTAGATGTTCGATGTGCTCCTAAGCAATCGAAAGCAAGTCGACGCCAAGTTCCTTTGCAATTGTAAAGTGACTAGAGAGATGGCGGACAAAATGTCATTATGGCTCCGAACGACGATCTTCTTTGAAACTGAAATCTACGGAATGAATTTCAACAGACCATATTTGGCAGATCCGAGCTTTTAATATTTTTAATTTCCTAACTTATCGCATAAGCTAGTCGCATGAACTTTTTACGTACCCCAGCGTAGCGGTGTGACAGTCTTATAGATCCGTCTGATCTCATGAATACGTCATCTTTGGTTCCTTCACTTTGGTATTCGAATATTCGAATCAAATATACGATTGATGCATTCGTATTAACGATTGCATTCGCAATGTCTATCCCTATCGCTTTTGGAGCCTTTTAGGTGTGTCTTTCATTCTTCCCTACAAGCGAAAATTTCAATAAATTTTCATGAAAGCATTTTTTTGTTGCTACAGATCTATTTATCTCACTATTTAAAATTATTTTCCACGTAACTGTTATATGTGTGAGTGTTGACGATGAGTATTAATTAGACTTTTAATGCAAATCGCTTGCAAGCTCTAGAATTAATTAGATTTTCTGTTAGTGAAAGCTTATAAATTAATTTCTAGTTAGAATTTATTTTAACGATGACCGGCTTTCTTTAACTTTAGAATGATGATTTCGGGAGACGATGTAGAACGGGTAAAAGTATTTTGTATTCTATACAACGTGACATCAACTTGCAAGTACATGTAACTATTCAAACTAAATGTAGCTATCAAGATTTCAATTGTCAGTGCGTTACATTTTAACAAACGTAGCAAACGTCTGAACGTAAACAAGAAAATGTTATGGGTCTCGATAATTTTTCTAATTTTTACTGCAACAAATGCCGTAGAATTATCGGGTATTCTTAAATTATTTACACCTAACGATGTTATTTTATCGGCGGCGGCAGGTAAGCACGTTCGTCTTTCATCATTTTTTTTTTTCAATCTTAACGAAGCAATTGTTTCATCCATTAAGATAATATGGCTAATAAGTTGGAAAGCGAATATATGAAATATCTCGAGACTGGAGTGGAAACGCCTACTTTCAATTACGTGACAATGCAATTGGAAAGTTCACGTAACGGAATGAATAAATATGTTAAGGATATTCATAAACTGAAGCCAGTCGATGAGTTTTTCGTTTGCGTCGTCTGTCGGGCAATGGCCGGTGTTATCGTCCGTACGTTTCGTGATGAGCAAAACGATTTGAACGGTCCTAAGGGCGATGCTGTAGCTAAAAAGATTGCTATAGATGCATGTCAACGCTTAAAAATACAAACGAAAGAAGTGTGCGAAGGCCTGTTTGACGGTCACTGGCCCATCCTACGATACATTATTGAAAACACTTCTGTGGATGCAAAAACAATTTGCTCTTTTTATATACAATTTACTTTTTGCAATGTCGCCGATCATCCAAATTTCAATTTCAATTTGGAGTTGGACGATGCAGATCAGCCATCCATAATTGCGTCCAAGTCGAATCGAGGCAGGAGAACTCCAAACGATTTGAATATTCTGCATTTGACCGATATACATCACGATCCTTTGTACGAGCCAGGATCGCTGGCTGAATGTGACGAACCATTGTGCTGTCAGCGTCACAAGAGTCTGGCTGTAGGTACGTCGAAGGCGGCTGGCTATTGGGGTGATTATCGCGAATGCGATTTGCCCTGGCATACAGTCAATCAAGCATTTACTCATATTCGGCAAGCGCATGCGGACGTTGATTATATTTTTCAAACCGGTGATGTTATCGATCATATGATCTGGAGCACCTCTATGGCAAAAAATAAAGTCGTCTACGAAAGGGTAGTTAAACGTATTTATGAATTGTTTCCTGACGTCCCCGTCTATCCATGTATAGGTAATCACGAAGCACATCCATTAAATTTGTAAGTTTGTAAACTTTGGAAGTAAAAACGAAAAAAGAGAAACCGATTTTCTCTTTATCTGTCAGATTCAGTCCCGCCTATGCGCCCGATAGCGTCAATAGTCATTGGTTATATGAATTTCTTTATGATATATGGTCTAAATGGTTGCCCGCAGGAGCTAAGGAAACCGTCTTAAGGGGCGGTTATTACACAGCTTTAGCTAGACCCGGTTATCGCATTATTTCCTTGAATAACAATGATTGTTATACGGATAATTGGTGGTTATTTTATAACGGTACCGATATGAAAACACAGTTAATGTGGTTATATGAAACTTTATTGGCTGCGGAGAGGGCGAACGAACACGTTCACATTTTAGCTCACGTACCTTCAGGTGATGACACATGTTGGAATGTGTGGTCTCGCGAATTTAATCGGCTCGTCAGACGCTTTCGGGAAACCATAAGCGGTATTTTTAATGGCCATAGTCATGCCGATGAAATGCATATTCATTACACCAATGGTGGATATGCAGTCGCAGTGACATTTAATGGTGGAGCTTTAACCACATGGACTTATAAAAATCCCAACTATCGTATATACCGCGTAGAGCCGGAGACGCTGGTAACTTTTTGTTTAAAGCTACTAAGGCTACTAGTTTTGTTTTAACATTACATTTTAGCAAGTTGTCGATCATGAAACCTGGATTTTTAATCTTACCGCGGCGAACACTGCTGGGGCTGCCGAAAATCCTCGCTGGTTTAAAGAATATATATTCTCAGAAGAATTTACCGACGATCTTAGTCCAGCCGGTCTTGATAAATTACTAGAACAAATGGCTGATAATCCTCGTTTGCTAGAAAAGGTTCTTAACTCGAAATTAAAAAGCAGCGAAATAATGCATTTATCATAACTTTCTCATCGACATATTGTAGTTTTGGCGTTTTAAAATGCTTTCCACTGATCCGAGATTAAGAAAAGGTTGCAATCGATCTTGTATGCTAAAAACCATATGTCGTCTTGCTGTGACCGTCAACGATCAGCGTAAACGTTGTGAGGAATTAAAGGCAAGACTGATAAAAGCGGTAAGCTCTTATAAAATTATTTTTAGTTCTAATACGAAAATTAATTACGCTATTCACTTTTAAATAGATGGATTCAAGTTATGAATAAAGAAAACATGTCGAGATCAATTATTATAACCCACGTACATATATTATATAGATTTATTTGCATTTAAATGAAATACTTATGCAATATATATATTTTTTAAATTTTATCAATAAATTTTTCAGAAAAATCTTAATATAAATTTACGGTCGCAGATTAAATCGACGTAAATCGATTCAGATTCTGATGCTGATAAAGAATATCTATATACTTTCTGATATATATGCGAGTAAAAGTTCTTTTGCGAATAAAACGAGTGCTATTCAAAGTTTGATATTTTTTTTTTTTTTTTAGTGATTTGAATGCTTTTCAAACTGTAGCTCATGATTTACTTATGGTTTCAAATTGCTTTTGCTTTGTTTTAGGTGAGAGCAAAAAGGTTTCTGCTTTTTCGTTGATGTGGGCATTTTGTTTACCATATTCCTTGAATAAATTTTGGGGAGGAAAAGGGATATAAGTGCTTTAGAGTTTTCACGTGCATTATTGTTGTTTTATCTCAGAGATATGAAAATCTTAGAAATATGACAATACTGGCCAGTGCACATAACAAAAGAAAAACACATACAATTTCCTCTTAAAATTAATTACAAAGCAACTGAAAGTGACGCCATTTTTTATATAAATCATATTATTTTAAGTGATTACTGCTTGAAAAAGGGGCGAATATTTTAAAATTTTCGTCGGGCGTAGCTTGTTGAAATTTTTTTGAAAAATTTCATTACAACAGCATCAGTGCCTATATCATTTTTAAAATAATTTCTACTTCAATTAAATGAGTCTGATAAATTTTCTTAATCCAAAACTCAAGCCGACAGTCGAATGTGAGGCAGTTTGTGAAGATGGGTATGGACCGACAAATTTAATAGCCGACGATCCTGAACAATTATTACGCGGATTTATGGCATTCTCTGTAACCAAGCCGCCAATGGAAATTATCTTTGAATTTCCACGAGCCATCGATTTAAAGGTAATTAAATTGTGGAATAGTCAGGGTGCATTAAGGTCAACGGCTTTTGAAGTTCACGGAAAAAACGAGGGCATATGGGAACGTGTCGCGTATGTACGTGATTTAGCTAAAGATATCGATTCGGTAACGTTTTGCTATCAAAGCGATTACAATTCACGCAGCGGCCGCACCGAACAGCAACCTAGTGAGACAGTTTTCTTTTTTAAGACTGCTCATCGCATGTTATCTAATACTAATAGCATTAAATTGATTATACGTGCTACTCAGAAATGCGCACCAGTCTTGCGTAAAATTCAAATATGGGGCTTACCAGCTCGTTCTTTAGATACGGTTGATCGTGAATTGGTGAAAAGCATTTGGAATGAAATAACCAATCCTTACGATCCTTTAGAACGTCAGAGAATTGCCGAAGAAGTGGGTCAACGATCTCCGTCACGTTGTGTACCCGAATTGAATAAAGAATCAACATTACAAATACCAGAAGAATTCCTTGATGCAATTACTTGGGAATTAATGGTAAGTACAGAATATGACTTTTTTTAAACGAAAAAATACACAAAGAGAAAGAGAGAAGGAGAGAAAAGCTTAAAAATTAAATAGCCGAAGAATAGTCTTATAATGGCATAGCGTGTGCAATATGCGCGTCAACTACCACTACGAGAGCACTTTATATTGGTGTGACATGTTGAAAGGTGAATGCCAGTGTGACAGAGTGCGTCATACCATATGTTTTAAATAGAAGAACATTTTGCAAGTTTTCTCAAATAAATATGTTATGGCGAGCAACCAAATACGAACTGGAATGAACTTTAGTCGTCGCTCGTTCTTTATCTTTAGTAGTAGTACTTTTATGCATTTATTTAGCTAATCAACTAATCACGCCCATTTTTTTTTTTGTTCTCCTCACGTATTTTAGATATTTCCTACAGTTTTACCGTCAGGCAAAGTAGTTGATCAATCAACCATAGATAAGCATTCAGAAGAGGAGGCTAAATGGGGACGTTTACCGTCCGATCCGTTCACTGGTCTAGAATTTACGGCACACCGGAAAGCCATTTTGAATTTGGCTTTAAAAGCTAGAATAGAAAAGTTCCTCATGGAGAATTCCGAACATTTTAAGACCGTGCCAAGATCACTTGGCAGTTCGAAAGTTCGACGCAGCAGAAATAGACATGCCTCACAGGTTGCCAGCTTGTATCAATCACATAACTCAGCTGGAACTTACTCATCACTATCAAAGTCCTATAAAACCTCCGCAACAGCCACATCATCGTCGATGGATAATTTAGACTTAGCTGCATCGTATGCCTTGCCACCACCAACCAAGCGTGCACGTATAAGTGTAAATGCTTTTACGACAACTCTGGTGAAAACACGTTCCTCTGATGGCTTATCGACATCACCAATGGCTTCGACGGCTACGCAAACTTTGGCCACAGCTACATCGTCGTTTACTAAAGCTGCAACTGCAGCAACAATTGTTGACACAACCAGTAGCTCTTCAACTACGCCAAATATTGAGGCGGCCCTACAGCAAGCTCTGCAAAAAATTACTAGATTTACGCAGCCGGCTGCCAAACAAGTCATAAAAACGGACGCTTGCATACAATGTCATACACCGGAGTTTGCTTATGAAATACAAACATGCGGTCATTTAGTTTGCCGGGAATGTCTAGTACAGTTAACACAATCCGAAAAATGTGTCTGTAAGACAGCTTTCCGTTCTTCGGATGTCGAACGGTATCATAAGTTGTAAATGTGATGAAAACTAAAGAGAGAAACGAATTTGGGATATTTTTTTTATATAGTCTTTGTCATCTCAATTTTTCTAGTTTGCAAAACAGGTTTTTTTTTTTTTTTTATAATATAAAAGTTTTCTAAGTTTGTTAATTGAGACGCTTTACGTAGAAAATGTTACTGAAAATTTAAGAAAAAAAAAAAGAAAAAAAAAATAGTAATAATAAGAAGGTCTATGAAGAATTTATGGGCTTCCATCCAAGAATTCGTATGTGAACATTCTGAACTAAAACAAAAAGCAATATAGAGAAGGATTTACTTGAGTATTATAGAACATCGTTCACTCGAAAGTCACACAATGTGTACGTAATATCTATTTGTTTATGCGAACATTATAAATGTTTCGTAATTTTGTTCAAAATTTAAAAAAAAAAAAATTAAAAATAAAAATTTTTGTTAAATTTAAAGTTTAAAATTTTAGGCATTCGGTTGAAAATAAGAAATTTTCAGTAGCATTGAATATATTTGCTTATAAAGAATAAAGATATGAAACCATTTCCACCGCTTTTTTATCATTTTAAAAATATATGTTAATCAAGCTTTACTATATTTTAATTAATTATTACTTTTTTACTTTATTAATTTGTAGTTTAAATTTTTCAACCATCAGTTACATTCATGTTTTTTTTTTCGTTTTTTTTGTTTTTTTTTTTTGTTTTTTTGTTTCTTGAAATGTCATTGTCCAAAATATATATTTTATAGTGCAAATAAAATTGTTCATTTAAAAGGGGTGAAGTAATTTAAAAAATTCAATATATAATAAGTCAAGCAAGTCACACATACAACCCAGCAAATAGTACCGAGAGGGAGTAAATAATATAAAATAAAGCAGACAATTACAACTAATGTTTCCTTGCAGTAATAAATAATTTATACTAATAAAAAAAAAAAAAAGAAGAGAAATTATATCAAACAGAAAATAATAATACAAATGCAAACATTACACACACAAACATATATATATTCATTATCGCCTACCATATTCATTGATCATATATATATATATATATAAATATATATATATGTATTACATTTTATTTTCATATACAACATATTATTCTTAATAAGTGTTTAGAACAAAAAAAAAAAAAAATATCAAGCGAAAAATATTTAATGAAACTAAGGAAAATCATCTAATAAGAAATATACGTATTTTCTCATAATATTACACTTATTTTAGAGATAAATACAAATAAAAAAAATTTAAAAAAATGAATTGCTATAGTGTTTGCCCGTTTATCATTATCGTAGAAATATGCGTTTGTACGTGATGTTGAGCTTGGAAAAGGGATAAAAATAGAACAAAGAGCAAAACTTTGATTCACATATGCGGTGCACGACCCATATTGAAGAAAGAATACTTTCTTATTTTCTAAATCGAAGGCTACGCTAATTTTCCGAGAATCATAATGCATAATTCTATGGGAAATTTCCGTAAGACTTTTAATTGCTGTCTTAAATTTGAAGCATGCAGTATCGCACATTAATTAGAAACTGAAATTATGTAGAGTAAACAATAGAAAAATTAATCATAGGCCGGATAGAAAGGCTTGGAAATATAATTACGCTTTCTTTCATATTCCATTAGTAGATCTTGGCAAAGCAATGGGCCGTTTTTAACATTAGACTGTGTCTATAAAATTTTAACATTTTTCGGCATTTTGTAACTTATAGCTGCGTTTTGCAACTGCCTTCTGATCATTAGGCCGCGTTTTATGCATTTGGCGGCGTGTTTAACATTTAGGCTTTAGGAGTATAAGCGAAGCCTCATTGTGTTAGACAATAGATGGCAAGAAAGGAATTTGTGTGTATTCTTGTCACATATAACACACGCATGCCAATCGATTAAATTTGAAAGAGGGCAACATTTTAATTTCTTTGTTTCCGATATAATAAAGAATTAAAAGCAAATATCTGAAATTCTAAGTGTCTTATTTTATTTTTATAAAAAAAAAAAAGCCAAATTACTTAATTCCATTATTATTGCCTCATAGTATTTGTTGCACTGTTATCCTTACCGGTTAGTGCTGCCACTTTACCGTTCTGCTACTACGACTCGTTCACAAAATTTAAAGTGTTTTTTTTTTTTTTCGTAATTTTATACGTCAAATCGAATTTTTGTTGCTTTAAAATTATTTTGTGAACATTTTTCACCCAATTTACGTTTGCGTATGTTTAATTAGGGCCGACAAGGAAGATACTGAGAAATATGGAAAAAAAAAGCCCAAATCTAGCTACACCGAAACAAACCACGATCAAGCGATTGGGTTTAAGAGGATCTAGTAGTGCTTTAAGAGTAAGATCGCAAGCAGCCTCTGCAACGCCAAGTCGGAAATCGGGGACGATTGGCAATAATGCTGCCGTTTCATATGGATCGGAGAAAGGCAACAAAAAGGTTTTATCCTCGTCAGTAAACACGCCATCGGTCAATTCTAACGAAATGAGTAAACAAGCGAAAAGCACAAATTGCCGAACCCATAGATTGGCATCAAATAAGCATTTAAAAGAGAAATTAAGCAAAAAACGCTTACAATTCCATTCCTCCGATGAAATAGATACAAAAGGTGAAGGATATAACCTCGAACCTGAAAGCTATTTATACAAAACTTATATAAATCAAAGACACAAAATGACAATGTTGAAGAATATTTAAGTCGATTATCCAAGGAAGAAGTCTTAGCTCAAATAGATGAAATGGAAAAAGAGCTACAAGCTCGCCGACAGCATACTGAGAGAGCAAAAGAACTTAAGAAAGCCATTGAAACTTGGCAAGCAGGTTTTAGAAGTGCTCTACAAGAATTACAGACCAAAATTGATCCCAGTGAAAGCCGCGAGCATCTTTTGACCAAATTACAATTACCGGCAAATATGATTAAATATGTAGAGGATTGACGCATTATATAAATGCAAATATCAAATTTCTGTAAGAGTTTTGAATTAATATTTTTTGATAGAAAGCAAATATACAATATATTTTTTAAATTAAAATAATTTAGTATTTATGTGGGCGTATGGGTTTCTCCGGGTTAAATAATTTAGGATCTTTGATGAAATCAATGTCTTTATGATAAGTAGGCATTAAAGCACAAGCTTGCGCACGTGTTATTGCTGTTTCGACTTCGGCTTGCTTTGTTTTACATAACCCCGTTATATGACGTCCGTAAATGCGACCGGTGTATGGTGATTGAAACTGAGATAAAAGTCGAACATTTTTATAATCCGGAACTATATTATGTTTGCACAATATGCAGATAGAACGCTCCTTTTGATATGGATTCGGTATATCAATAGGTTCATCGGTATCATTGGAGACTGCTGCTAATGAACTTGTATCTGAAGCTGATTTACTAACTGAGCGGATTGTATTTTTCGCTATGTTAACTACAGAACCTGGGAAATGTTAAAAAAGTCAAAAATAATTGTGTCTGTATTCATTATGAACATGTTTAATTAAATTATTTACCATAGTCCGCAAGATATTTTGCAAATTTAAACATTTTTGCTTATATATATTGTATTGACAAAAAAAAAAAAGAAAAAAAAAGAGTACAGTACAACAGCTGTTAGTGCTACCACTTTACAGCTGTTTACACAATAGGCCAAGAGAGAGAGAGAGAGAGAGAAAACGGAGCTGCTTTCAATAAATGGCAACGCTTTGCCATGAACAGAAAGAAGAAGGAAATTATTCACATGCTCATAGCTTGTCTGTAAAACAAACAAAGTTTAGCAGCTGACTTGATATGTGTTTGCAAGGGTTTGTGCATTAGATGATTCCCACAAAAAGTGTTGCAAAGCGCACGAAAATTAATTCTGTTAAACGACAAGCAATTGTTCAACTTTTTTGAATGATTATGCAAATGACCGGAATTGTGGCTTTTACATAATTATGCAATCAGTGAATTATTTGATTAAATTTGACTTAATCAAAGCGAAAGCATCCAATCCAAGTTGAATTGTTTGTTGTATGTTGTGTATGCATAACATATGAACTATCCATACTTTTAAATACAAGCTACAAGCGTAGATAGATATTTACAGTTACAATATTAAATGCATCATTCTCTTTCTCATTTAATAAGTTCTCTTTATAGAAAATTGAAAATCTTAACATATCTTTGATATATTTTATAAACTACTGAAATGACAATTTTCTAAGTAAAGAATTATTATTGCTTAGCCTTTAGAGAATGCCTACGTTGTCACTTACAATAGTGCAGGAGGAGTGAGTGTATGAATTTCTAAAGGGATTTGTTTTACTTTGAGTTTTCCAGAAAAATATCAGCGCTTCCTGTTTTTCTTAAAAACCGAAAAAAGGAAACGGAAGTGTGAAAGCGTATGCCTATAGAAATTTCTATGTACATGTGTGAGTTTATTTGTATAATATTTGCGCAAATTTTTGTGTATTATTGAAATCGAAAAGATTTTTATACAAAAGATTGCCTTCCAAATATTTTACAAAAAGAAGAAATAACTAATTTTCATGATATGGAAAATGCAAAAAAGGAGAAAAGAGAAAGAAGGAAAAAACGAAACGTGTCATTTATTCACAAAAAGTCAAATAAATTTCCTACGTAAACAAATTACACACATAAGCAAATAAAATACCAACGGGAATTTCTCACCGTACGAGCTATAAATAAAGAACAACTTTTCTGAGCGGCCGGGTGTGATGGTGGACATAACTTTAAAATGTGTCCAATCCGAATCTGCTTAAACTGGTAGCGTTTAAGTAAAAAAATAAACGAGAATCTGTTCAATTTATTACATTGTTTTAGTATTTTTGTTTATAAGCACTTTGTATTAAGAAATATTTTTATTTTTACCGCTTCTTTGGAAATTGATAGAAAACATTTTCAATCATAGGACTAGATTATCTTTCTTATCCTTTATTGAGACTTACTAGCAAATTGGAATCCAACGAGATGAAAATGAATAAATCCTTAGCGAGAAGAATTAATCGTTGCTCATTGAATTTAAAGTTGAACAGAAAAAAAAGAAGAACGAGCAGAAATGTTAACAAGAAGCAAAAGGTGAAAAAAAGCATGTCGTTTGCCTACAATATTAAACTGAATACATCCGTAAGCCCGTTTTTTTTTTTTTAATTTTTTACTTTCTTTTTAGTATAAGCGATGACGGAAGGCATGTCCTGTATTGAGGTAAAACGGTGATGGTTAGAAGGAAATGAAAAAGGGGGAAGAGCTAGGGAGGTTGCGGCACTGAACAGTGGGTGTGTGAGTAAGCATTCAGTGTAACTACGACAAAAATGAACTATACTGCGCTGATTCTTACCTATTCGGTTACTCTTGCTTATCTACCAGCATTTAGCAGATATTTCTTTTTCTATAGATCCTTAATCTTTATCTATCGTAGCACTTTTCCTTTTTAGTAGCAAAACTGTGCAGCAATTGGACCAAGAAACATGCATCTGGGAAGCTAAAGTTTCATTTAATCATCGATAGGAAGCTAACCTACTTTTCAACACTAACAAAATAATTGCACTATGATTACTTTCAGAAATGCAGCTTATTAGCAATCCTTTATCGGTATTCAAAAGAAGTGATGAACTGCTCGGAGCTAATTCTCCGAATGGCAGCGTTGTTGTTTAATATCAGCACTGAATTCCATTGTTGGTGTTTGTGACCGCGTCTATTATTAGAGTAACCTATAGCCTGTAAAATTTGCGTACAATGTAATGACTTTCAGTCAGTCAGTTGCTTACAATGTAATGACTTTCATTATGCCTCTACGTGGGCACGTAGCACCTGCTTATTGAATGCATTTTATTAGAATTGTGGTGAGAAAATGGTCAGCAAAAAAAGAAAGACAGATTGGATTGGACTGACGCGGCTGAGTATGTTAGACCTTTAGTCTCCTTCAAAAGAGCCCAACTTGCTCTTGAATAGCCGAATACGTAAGAATCGCTGCTACCAAGCCTGTGCTCATGGGTTCAAGCTTTAATGCGGTACAGTACAGGTTCGTCGTAGCCATAGTGAGTGCTCACTCGGTAAAGGCACAGCACTAGCGTATTACCGCTTCCCTATCTTTTTCCCTTCCGGATAGTGTAAAATATTTTTGCTAATAGTTTACGATTATATTATAAATTCCATACCATACATGTACGCCCTTCTTGGATAGGGAGAAGTGTGTCTATTATAGGAATAAAGTTTAGTGATTCATAAGTGTTTTTTCTTCCTTTTGATTATATATAACATTTTTCTAGTGTACATACATATTAATAATGTTATTAGTGTCAATTTCATAAAATAGTTCACCAGCATTATTTAAATGAATAATTGATGCAAGAATGTAACAAAACGGTAACCAGTTGTTCATGACTCAAAAAAATTGTGCTGATTACCTGTTGATCTACTTCGCTAAAATCCGATAAAATTTCAGACTTAAATGTTTTGTTAGCATAGAAACTTCTCTTATTTATGTTCATACTCATCACTGAAGGATGAGAGGTATATTCAACTTGTCAACACGTTTGCAACGCCTGGAAGCAAGCATCATAGACCCCACAAAGTATACATACTTTTGATAAGCATAAAATTCTGAACCAATTTAAGCATGTCCATCTGTCCGATTGCGTAATGTCTGCTGTAAACATTCTCCTATCCACGAAAACGAAGCTATCAACTTTAAATTTAGCAAAAATATTAGAAATTTTTGCACGCAGGTTGCTGCTGACCCTACCTTTAACTAAGCAGCCTAAGTGTAAGCCATAATTTTTTTTAAGGTCTAGAGGACCTTCTGATACCGTACAAATCAACCGAAATTTGCTATTAAGCTATAAAAAAGGGCTTAAATGTCAGAATTTTCCGTAAACGGAACAATGCGGTTAAAAAAAATTCGGTCCCGTTAAATATCATTAATCATTAATTTTTTTGCGTAAAAGTGCCATAAGTACACGGAGACGTATTTTCGTGTTTATGTTTTTTTTCAAAGCCATTTCTAACTCTGTCGTCCTTCTAATGCGTATGGAAAAATCAATTTTAATACACTGTCAGGATGCTTGTGTGAAAGGCGGACATAAGACGCAACCCTCATAAATGTTTATGAATATGATGTGATTTTAATAATAATAATAATAATAATAATAATAATAATAACAATCAGCATGCGGTACTCTCTTTTTCACGATTTCAATCATCTTTTATGCGTTTTTTCAAGTGCTACACTCGAAAATTTAATAATGTGCAAAACTATTTTTCCCTTTACTTCATGCCATTCCAATAAAATATAAAAAAAGGGGTTAAATTAGGAAAACGACATAACGAATGCATCATTATTATTCGAAATCTTGAAAACACAATTTCAATACAAAAATTTTCCTCGTATTTTCTATCGCATATGCGTGTCTCTCTGTGTGTGTCTGTGTGTGTGTATGCATGCGTGCGTATAGTCGATTTCTTATATATCTTGTATATCTGTCCGTTTAGCATAAATACATTTATATTTAATATAACTGTTGTTTTTTTTTTTTTTTTTTTTCTTTTCATTCAAATATCTATTAAATTATGGCACCCACACAATGCAATACAACACAATACAATACAATAATAATAATAATACATAACCGTAATAATAGTGAAAAGTTATAACCCTTTTACGTATAAACATTCGGTTAGCCGGAAATCTTTTCCCAGTTATGGCATTAGTCATGCATATCGGTTAGAATGTTTTCCATTTCTACTACACTACGGATGTGTATGTGTTTTCTGTTTTTTTTTTTTTTTTTTTGAGATTTCTTTTTTTCTCTAGCGCATTATTTCTCAATGTGATGCGAAAGTGTGTGTGTCCTTCAATGAATAGTTATGAGTGTTTTGTTTCGCCTTTTAAGGGTCGTTTATTGAAAAATAAGCGTGATTTTTATTTCATATGTTCTTGGTCTGCCATTTCGATTACTAGCGTTTTTATGTTGTTGTAATTGCGTTACTTAGAAGAATATGAAAAAAAAATTTTTTAATATATTTTTCGATTCCATAAACTCTTGAGAGTTTACTTTTTTAAATACATCGATTATTCATATCAAGTTGTATGATGACAACAACTCCCCTCCTCTACATCTTGTTTGCCTTCTTTTGTTAACTCGTAGTTCATTCTCATTGTATGGCTTGAAGGATACATATAATCAAGCTTTTATATATAGTCTTTTATACCCACAAATAAATGCACACTAATACGAAGCATATTTTCAAGATCAAGGTCCGATGCAATGGGAAGACTTAGTCTTTCTTCGTTTGAACGAGTGAAGGACTAAACTTAAACTAACTGGACTTTACTTTACACTTTTGTTTTGCTTTTCTATTATATCAACGTATGCGCAAAACTAATTCCAAAAATTTTCAAGAAAAGCATGAAACATAAAAACAAGTAAAAGTACTGAAATGGGGCACGGTTCGCCATTAAATACCATATACCATAGACTTCTATGAGCAGTGGTCGAAAAAGTAACTCAATCCGAACCATTTTCAATAGCCATTGGATTGAAAGAT